GGCAATGGCCGTGCTGTAGCAGGGGGACAACTGAAAACGGAGGCCTCCACCTCTGTTTAATGATGATTCAGAGATGAGGATGTTCTCATCCTTGATAGAGAGGAACGTTGGTTTGAGAGAGGAGTAAAAGAAGACATTTTTGTGAAGAAAGACCGTCCAACATTAAACAGAGGTGGAGGCCTCCGTGTTCAGTTGTCCTCCTCCTACAGCGCTGCCATTGCAAGTATGACTCCGCCCCCTGTGAGGAAAAGGTGTGAATCAGGGCCCCAATGATACCAACACAAAGAGGGAAAAAAATAAAAAAGGGACTTTGAACCCCCGCTTGCATTCACTACATACACATGACACAGGTCAGATGATGGGTCACATGACCCTCTATGAACAATAGAGCTAATCAAGCCTCTTGTTAGGTGATGGTCCTCTTTTACATGTGACTAACCTGTTTGTCCATGTGGAGGCGGAGCTTATAAGGCTGAGTTCACCTGAAACTCATCAGACTGAAGAAGTCTCTTGGAGGAGAGACGAAACGTTTCATTAAAGAAGAACCATCCAGAGGACCTACTTATATTTTTGTTTTTGACTTTAACAGTTGGTGGAAACCAGTCCGTACTCGTACTGTGAACTAGATAAACCAGAATCTTGTGTCGTACCGGAGCTCCTCCTTCCCTGCTGATCTGCAACTTGTAACCCAGGTCCTTGTAGATCCATGGAGGGTGGTGTTTTGGAGGCTGGAAGTCCACACACAGACTGGTTTGGCAGGACCCAACGGTCAGCTCAGGCAGGTCCAGGTGGTCTGAGACAACATGAGTCCAGTTAATAATCATTSATCAGGACAGAAAGTCGGCTGCAGTCACAAAGCTCTGCTGGGAACATGGAGACGTGTGATTTAAATGTGATTAGAAAATTATTTTCTGTTTCTGGATCATCAGGTTAATGAATAAACCTCTCTGTCTGTAAAACACTAAAATACTATTTTACAAAGTCACCTGTGGCTAATTTCACATAAACATGCAGTTAATACGTATATCACCTGTACACCTGTACCTGTGTYTGTTCTGGAGCTGCTTACCGATTGGCTTGTATTGGACCTGTGCAGACTGGGCTCTCTGAGCCTCCAGCTCAGCGGTAACTTTGATGTCGTATTTTACAAACGGGTCTTTGAACGCCTCAGTGAGGTTGCAGGTCCGGGGGTRCTGGACCTGCTGGCAGCCACTTGGGAACTGGTCGCTCCTTGAGAGACAGACAGGAAACAGGAAGTTCTGCCTGTGAAATGTGAAGGAGCAGTAGTTTCGATGATGTAATGATTGACAGGTTCCCAGGTGAGAGCCCACCTGTCCGTCTGAACGCTGACACTGTAGGAGGTTCCTGGGGGGGTTCCTGGTGCAGGGTCCCAGRTCAGGATGTAACCCGACCCGGTGGAGRGGATGGTGACATTGATTGGCTTTGGGAGCTCATCGACAGCTGGAACAGAACCAATCAGAACATTAAAGTCCATAAAACTGAACGAAGAAACAAAAGATTCTGATTTTCCTGTAATTAATTCTGTCGAATCGATCTAAGTGTTTTTATTCATCGGAAATGTAATTATTTTCTAACATGAGTCCATGAAAACACAGATGGAGACGTTTCCTGTCGATAACCATTAACACAGCAGTCAGAACCAGGTAAAGGTCCTGGAAGGGTCCAGTACAGCCCAGGACTCAGTCTCACTAAGTCTCTGGTTTTATTGGACAGAAACTGAAGGAGCGGTGAGTTAGTTCCTCAGGTAAACACAGAGAAGTGGTGTTAAAGCTGTGTTCTGACCCACACAGGTAGAACTCACCTGGTAGAACCAGAGGCAGCCAGGTGAGGATCCAAAGCAGCGACATGACGTTTGAGCATCTCCTCAAGAACCTCCGTCAGTACTTCTGGACCTCACTGCTTTCATTTTCCTTCTCAACACAAAGTCCAACAGCATCAGGACGACTCACGGACACCATCCAGTCCGGTCCGGGCCGGAAAACACCGAATATTACCGAACAACAACAACAACAACAACAACAACAACAACAAAAACACACACGCGCCCACTCAGAAGCTAGCTCATTAGCTAGCTGAGGCTAGCAGATAAAAGCAGAGCTGCTGTAAATGATAAACCCTAACTGGGTCTGGACTAAGACCGGTCCTTTCAGAKACACCTGCCACCGGTAATCCAGCCGGTGTACAGGTACAATTTACTCCGTTAATCTATCCGGTAAAGACGTCGCTTCGGTTCATCTGCTGCACAGAAACGTAGCGGTGCTGCCTTCACTGACGCCCGGAACTTTCTAAACCGCGCCACGATTCCCTTCTGAACACGCTCAGACCGGCGGACTCTGAAACGGACATGTCGGTGAACAAACGAAACGCAGTGAATTACCGATCAACTTCTTTTATTTTTGTGTTTTGTTTTTTACATGATGGTCTTTTCTTTTGTTGAGCTGTTAGAAACTTACAAATGTCGGACGGCTCGTGAAGGCACCACCACAGGAAGCGGTTGATGAGAAGTCACGTGACCCGCCGAGCCTTTCATCAGAAACTGTTTTAAATTAAAGAGGAAAAGGTTTCATTTGTCTTTTAATTTTAACTATTGGTGACCAAATATGATTCCTGACAGTTTTTATTAAAAAAAAAAACTGGTAAAAATATCTGTGTAAACTTTACTCAAAACTAAACTGTTTATGCTTTTATTAACAGAACTTCAATAACTTCATCAAAAGTTAAGTTTGTTTTATTTACATACTTAATATATTTAGGATGATCACAGGTGCTCCTGTCACATGTAAATTATTAGGATTTAATACCTGAACAAGATGGATTTTAGTTCTAATGAGTTGTATTTTTAATTAAGTCCCAACAGCAAAATAATTCATAAAAATCATTTATTTCTRTCTAAAACAAAACAGATTTTATTACTGAGAAAAAAACATAATGACAAAGTAAAAAAATAAAATAAAATAAAGAAAAATCTCAACCTGAAACATTTCTTTCATGATTTCGACAAACATTTGAAATAAAATATAAATGTTGTAAAGCGTGTCTCTAAAAGCACCAGAACAACTTATATAATTTAACAGTTTGGATAACATTGGATTTTTATATAAAGTTTAAAATCAATGTTCTTTTAAATGTAATAAAATTAATCTTTGGTCCATTTAAATGTCCAGTTTTTGTTAAATAAATAAAACTTTACGTGTTTATCAGGTTTAAGGAACACATCTGGTTTATTTTAGACTAAAGAAGGCAGGACTTTTATTTTGAAATCTCAGGAGTTTGCCACCTTTACAACAGGTGAACTCATAAAATGTTTGTTCAGTGATGGAACCTGATCCAGTTTCAGACTGATCTGGACCAACGGAACCTGTTTTTGTTTTCCAGATCCTCCTGAAGGATCTCAAGGTCTTTACAGACCAGAGAAGACTCCAGGTCTCCTCCCAGAGTCCGGACCACCTCAGAGGGTGTACGGGTCAGAGGTGTGTTTCATCTGTGAGTCAGGTACGCAGACATCTCCTCCTCCTCCTCCTCCTCCTCGTCCTCAGGCTGGACGCAGGTGTCTGCAGGTCTCTTGTTGGACCCACTGAGGTCCTCTCCGAACATCTGATGGTTCTGATCAGAGTCCACCTGGTTCCTGGAGTTCAGCCTGTGCTCCTTCATCAAGTCTGAGAAAGAGCTCCTCGTGTGCTCCTCCTCTCCATCAGGTGGAGCTAACGAGGCCAGCGTGACGGAGAACAGGTTGACGTCTCCACAGACGTCCTGGACCTCCTCCTCCTGGACTGGGATCGGTTCCTGGACTCCGGACTGCGGACCCCCCTCAGGAAGCAAACAAACTCTGTCCGTGTTGGACTCGTACCGATCCGGTTCTGCCTGAGGGTCCTCCTCTGCAGCAGGGTCCTCCTTCAGGTGTCCACACACAGGACCAGAGTCCAGCTGAGAACCTGAGGACAGCTCTGCAGCTCGGTCCATGTACAGGTTGATCCTGTTCTCCTCCTCTTCATCCTCCTCCTCCTCAGAATCAGCATCTCCAGTGGGAGGAGGAGACACTGTGGGGTTCCTCTGGTTCCTCTGGTTCCTC